TCTGAGCTGTCCCACACTGACTTTTACCCTTACAACAAAAGCAGCCAGGCTGTGTGGCACATTCGCCCCATTTTAAAGATGAGGGGACTAAGGCTCTGAAAAGAGCACATGAGATCTCAGCTGGGGCTGGGGCCTGGCCCTAAAGCTAGGCTCTGTCTGTAGCCAGGGCTATCCCCTGAAGTGCTGCACCAAGGGCAGGGTACCTAAGAACCCTCCATTGCTTTGGGCCTCTTCTGAACTAGCTGTCAGCATTCCCGGGAGCCTGCTGGTGTTTCTAAGTTTTACACTTCAGGATCTAGTGAGCTGCTAAGGAGACCCCAGTCTCCACAGGCAAGGGCTGAGCCTTTACATCATTAGCTACCTCCCCAGTGACGGAGGCACTTCTGAGGGGAGAGGCACAAGGGGTGGCAGCCCAGAAAAGAAGATGGCCATGAGGCTGGAGCCACCTGTTCGTATTTTCACAGGCTCCTGAGTGCTCACTGGGCCCTGCCTGCACTGCGCTGTTCTCGTCTTACCATTCATCACCTTCCTAGACCCCACAGTGAGGACCGCAAGCCCTGCATGCTGGCCGCTCTACCAGGATTCTTTATTTACCGCCATCCTCCCCTCCTGGAGAGGCCAGTCGACCCTGCTGAGTGACCAGCAGGGCTAAGTTAACCAGCACCCATGGCTTAGGCTCTGTGTGGGTTCTTAGGCACCTGCTGACCACTGCCCACAGTCCGGGCCCTGTACCTGGAGCAGGCTCTGTGTGGGAGGGGTCCTTAGGAGAGAGGGCTCACTCTGAAAGAGCAGGACCCACCCCCCCAAGTAGCTTCCAGATCTGCCCACATGGCTGCTCTCCATGCTCCAGCCTCCTTTCTCCATCAGCATACTTGATGCTCAGCCCTGTTACACCAAGCAGCAGCAGCAGCAGCAGCAGCAGAGCAACGTCAAGTGAGGCAGGCTTCAGAGGGTGAGAGTACATCCCAGCTGCAGTGGCCTTTGGCTGAGCAAGACCGAACACCTGGGAGGCCAGGGTAACGGCTTGTCTTCCTCTTTTGGGAAAGGGTCTCCCCCTGACCCTGGCACCAGGGATTACTGGAGTGCCATCCTCTCATGCTCCCACTGTGCAGGCCCGAGCCACCCTGAGTGCTGTACCCCTACCTCTGAGGGTTGTGGGGGGGGGGGCAGGAAAACCAGGAAGCATAGGTGGTTAAGCTGAGTTGGCCTGCACTCCTGAGGCCATGTGTGCCAAGGCAGGGACTTAATAGTACTATCTGGACCGTACATGCCAGTGGCTGATACTGGAAAACACCAAGTTGGACCCACTGTCCTCGGGATGGAGACAATGGAAAGGTCTGTTTCATAGTCTGTATGTCCTTGAGCTGGGTGGGGAATCAGGGATCGACCCCCTGGAAGGGTAGCCCAGTGTGTGGTGGTGGACGACGCTGACTGGAGGTCCCAGCTGCAACTGTGTTCTCATGCTTGGGTGGTTCTCAAATCTGCTTCAGCAAGCTTCTTCACCTCTCTGGACTCCACTTTCCCACCTATAAAATGGACTGAGTGGCATGAACCTCACAGTGAGAGAATTGGCCTGAAAAGCACAGACCTGGCGTAGGCAAGAGGGAAGCCTGCATGTGGGTGCACACTGCTGTCCGCTTCTTTCAGGGAAGAGGGAGGGAAGAAGGCTTGAGAGCCACAGGACATTCTCTAGGGTAGGGAACCCAATTGGATTGCCCTATGAACCTGCCCTTGGCGTTCAGACTCAGCCGAGAGGAAGTTCCCAGGAGCTCCTCCTCCCTGATATCTTGGGCTACCTGCCCACTACACTGGAGAGCTAGCCTGGGGTTGAGGATGGAGACACTAGGTCATCCAAGAGAACAACTGAGCATTGTGTCATAGGGTGAAAACCGGAAGGGCTCTCTTCTAACAGGAGTGGGTCTTGGACTGTGGCCTTGGCTGGGATGCTGGACTCACACTCCTCAGGGAGACACTTGAAATACAGATGGACTCAGCACAGATCTGCTAAGCCACTCTGGGCTCCACCCAGAGATGAATATATGGGTTTAAAACTCCCAGATAATGGGTGGTCACCGAGGGCTCCACCTCTGACTCAACTGTGGGGTCTCACGTTCCTATCCCAGCAGGCTTGGTGATAGCATGCTTCGGGTGGCTAGCCACAAGTAACAGTCACTTCAACAGGGTGGGAAGCTTACTGCTGGTCTCAGAGTCCAAACTGGAAGGTAGTACAAGGACTCACTCATCTGGAGCTCTGGCTCCATCTTTCCCTGCCCCGTGGCTCTTGAGGTTTTGTTCTCTGGGCAGTCGGAGCCGGTTGAGAAGGGGAGATGTGGACACTGGAGGGACACAGCTGCTCTCTGGGAGCCAGCCCCAGAGCTGCTTGTTACAACCGTTCAGATTCTCTTGGCTCGAGGTTAGTCACGGCCTTAAAGGGCTCTAGGCAGGTTAGTCACCGGCTGCCACACCAGCCGCACGGCTCAGCTCAGAGGATAACTTGCAGGAGCTGGTTCTCTCCTCCTACCATGCAGGTCCTGGGGATTGAACTAGTGTTGGCAACATCTTTACCCACTGAGCCAATTCACTGGCCCCCAAGAAAGCCTTCCTTGGTGCTCCTCCTCTTATTTCAGGTGGATTGTCTGTAGACATGTCAAAAGTGTCCTTGCTTCTAATAGATGAATAGCCAAGGTCAATCAGCCAATTAGAGACTTGGTGAAGGGAGGCACGCGGCCTGTTCCCCCTAACCTGGGAGCCCAGGTGCCCGTTGCAGCACAGCCAATCTTTAAGACGGCTATGCCCTCGCAGGGCAGGCCCCTTCATCTGTCCATTGTTAGTGTTTGTTTAGCATTTATTCCTGTAAGCTCAGGGAAGATGCTTAGGGGCCATTGCGGGGATACTCACTGCAGACACACGCTGGCACCCCCTGTATCTCCACGGCCTCCTGTCTTACAGAACACCCAGTGCATTCCAGAAGGCTTGGAGAGCTACTACACGGAGCAAGACTCCAGTGCCCGGGAGAAATTTTACACTGTTATAAACCACTACAACCTGGCCAAGCAGAGTATCACACGCTCCGTGTCACCATGGATGTCAGTTCTGTCAGAAGAGAAGCTGTCGGAACAGGAGACCGAAGCTGCGGAGAAGTCAGCTTAGCGAGCTGGGCGGGTTCCTTACAATGTGTCACTTGAAGGCAACAAAGGGACTTTGAGGGACATTTCATTAAATATAATTACCGATAATTTAGAGGTTACTCATTTACGGTGCAATTGCTTCTGTTTGCTAATGCTGCTTTGCAAATAAAACTTGCTGCGGACCACCCACAGGCATAGAAACCAGCGCATCTCAGCATTGCTTAGAGAGCTTGAGGCCACTGTCCATGCTGAGGAGTCTTCATTCAGCTCCTTCACTGGGATTCACTGGATGCCGTCCAAAGAGAACTGACACTGGCTATGCCAGGGGTCTGGCCATCAGAGCAGTGCGTTTGGTGGGTTTCTTTTTTCTTTTATGCCCCTTTGCTATCTGCAGACCTCCCTCCATAGCCATATCTAGAGTGATCCCGTGCTTTGCTGGCAGCAGTGCCAGCTGCCAAGATGCACTGTTAAGTGGCACAGAGAAGGGAAGTGTGCGCTACAATGCAGCCCCGCCAGCCCCTGCCAGGGCACTTCTGGGAGGTTCTCTTTGGTATGTGCACTAAGCAGAGTACAAGGATGGGGTGGGAGGAGCTGGCTCTGGGCCAAGGGTTGCAGAGCCTGTTTTCCTGTGGGTGGGCGGGCTGTCTGCTGGTGATGTGCTAGATAGGAAGAAGCCCCACCGGCCCTTTTCTTTCCTGTTATGAATATGTTTGCACGTACAGCCCTGTAATGCAGGCCATTTTGGTTTTTCGTTTTATTAGCTGGGTGGGCAAAGTGAAAATGTAATTTTGGGTAAGCCAAGGCTATTTAGCTTTTAATCTGTGAACAGATGTGACTCCTGTGCTGTGAGAAAGGGGCAGGATGGCTGGTGGGGGGCTGATGTGGCACCTTGCAAAGAGAATATTTGAGTCCACAATCTTTGTAAGAAAAGTATGTTTATGTTTCAATCTGAATCTTGACATTAAAGTATATGTTTACAAAATCACCAGTAGGTAAACTAAATGTGTAAGACAATTAAATAGAAAAAGCTATTCATGGTTGTTTTCTTCCGTGTTCTCAGACTGTGTTGTTTCCAGTGGGCATGTCAGAAGTTTTAATGTTCCTTAGTAGGTCAGAAATAAATGGCAAATAGTTGGAGATCCTTTGTGAACAAGCACAGTGACCACCGTCAGCTACACTGTTGTTTCCTGAGGTGTGCTACTGAGACAAAATACTTTACTGTTGGAGTGTTCCGAAACAAAGACCCTGAGCTCAGCACAGGGTGGGGGTGGGGGATCCACACAGTCACATGTTTGAAGGGCGTTGGGAAGCTGTGAGGAATGCATGAAGAGCAATAAGCGTGCCAAAGCTTGTCCTGCACAGGATCTGACTCAGCGACCACGGAGTCGAGCAGTAGCAGCAGCAGCAGCAGCAGCAGCAGCAGCAGCAGCAGCACCTCACCCACTGTCAATCCCCCAATGTAACTTCTCACGTTCACTCAGCAAATAAAGAGCTCGTGGGTACCTGAGCCGCACACTGGACTGTCTGTACTCATGCGCTTCAGCACGAATTGGGTGACACCAGGATAGTCTGCACAGATGCAGGCCGTGTGCTGCACACTTCCAGTTCTCAATAGGCAACCCCGTGGCCTCTTCTAGATACGCAGGAACAAGGGCAGAAGGCCCGCTCTTCTGAAATCCACACCTTTCTTGGAACACGAGCTTCTAGGACCCAGAGGCAGGAAACCAGGCTTCACATGCCCTGGGCCCTGCTTTGCTGTTCACATGCTGGGAGCCAGGGCAGGAGAGAGGTCTAGTGGAGGGCACCAGAGTCTGCCTGTCCAGCCAGGTGGCAGCCAGCGCTGCTCAGTGGAGACTCACTGACTGCAATAAGTGGCTCTAATTGCATTTATTAGCTTGACAAGGCAGATGTGAATTGTTTTCTTTGACAAAATGGCCACATATCAGCACACATTAGACGCCACAAGGAAGTAAGAACCAATGACTTTAGAAACATTAGGCATGTTCTCCCCTGAAGCTACTGGTGTGGGAAGGGCAGGAGACGAGGCCCCAAGCATTGTAACGGGGATAGCAGGAGTGCCGTATTCCTGTCCTGCTCAGCCCTGCCATGCTTGTGGTCCTCCAGGAGGTGCCACTCCTGACTGCCTCACCCCTTTATCCTCTGCCCCCGAAGACCGCCTAGGGCACTTTCAATCCACACGTTTCCAGGTCCTGACAGGTTCCAAAGGTTGGCTTGGGGGCCATGTCTCCCCAGCCCTTGGATCTTACACAGCTACACAACAGAAGAGACACATGCTGGCACATGGTGTGTGTGTCTGGGACAGCAGCACAGACACAGGGGTAGCCCTCGTGGGCTAGCTGTCGTACCAGTCAAGGAAGAGCAAGGAGAAGGAACACATCACGAGGAAGAAGAGGATCCACACTCGGAAGCCGGCGTTGTTTTTGATGGCCTGGTAGGAAGAACACAGGTGTCAGCACCACCCGGGACTGGTTTCGGAAGCCCTAAGTGTCCCATTCTTTCACGTACACCTCCATGAATCCCACGCTCTCCTTAGACAGATGGCTTAAGTGAGAACAAAAGTCACCACGCATGGAGACCTGACAGAGAACAAATGCCTTGCATTTCATTTTTTAGATTACATTTATCTCTGTGTGGGTAGGTGGGAATGCATGTCACGGTGTGTGTCCAGTGTAGGGCCACAGTTATTTCTGTGCTTGTACCAGATGGATTTCAGGAATCAAAATTAGGTCATCCTGATTGGCAGCAAGCACCTTTACCCACCGAGCCCTTGCCTTTCATCCTCTTCTGTTGGGCAGAGCCTAGCCTCCCAGGCCTCGCTCCCCAGGTCTGAACCAGGGCTCAGGTTTCCCAGGGATGCTCTTGTCTGTGGTGAGAGTGGGCCAGCCAGGAGGTCTGGGCTTTAGAGACACTGGCTCACGGGGCTGGGTGCCCTCCAGCTTCTGGCTTTTGCTCTCAGTGGGCTTATCCTTGGCTTCAGACTGTCCTGGCCCTACCTGGATGCTCTCCACCCACACTGTTCTTGCAGGGCCAGAACTACTTTCTCTTGAAGATGAGCTGAAAGTAAGCCAGCAGGTCTATGAACACATGCACTTAGGGTGGCCTTGACCATAAACCCATGACTAGAGCTGCAGGATGGGCCCTGAGTGCTACACAGTGTGCTTGGACAGCCTCACCAGTGAGACTCGGGCTGCTGGGAAACAGTGCTGTGCCAACTCTGACCTGAGAGCCCCAGGTACCCACCTCTCGTATGTCTTCGTTGCCTTCCTTGATGTTTTCAGTTGCCCCCACAACTAACTGGTGAATGCTGTCAATTTCAGTTTCCTGTAGGAAGAGTGTCAGATAAGCCCAACCATTCCCTCCTCCACCAAGAAGATAGCCTTCTGCAAGTAGTTGCTGCCATGTTTCAAGCTCTAGAGGCTGTACCTACACAGCCTGGGAATCCTTGCCTGAGCGTGAGTATCACCCAACACAAAGACAGGGAAACTTACAGCTCGGAGATGTTCACTAGCTTCTAGGAGACCACACAGTACCCAAGGGGCAGGACTAGGGTAAGGCTCTTGTCGGGCCATAGAGCCTGCACTGGTACCACCTATCACTTCTCGTGTGTCACTTGTCAAGTGACAAGGACAAACATGACCTGCTGATTCTGGACTGGCCACTCCCACCAAGGGCCCTCTTCCTGCATTCCATTTATTCTTTATAAGGTCTAGAAGCCAGCTATAAATGTTACAGACTCTGAAACACACTAGCTACCCAAACAGCATGCTTTAACACACTGCTGAAGGGTAAGAGTTCAAACAAGATAGGAATTGCTGGCCGCAAATGCCCTGGGCAGATGCTGAGAACATGGACGTGTGGAGACCCTAAAACACCAGCCATGTGGAACTGCCTTTGATCTCCCTGCTGCGGGGCGGGCAGGTGTGCCCTAATGTGGGCTTTTAGGGAGCCCTGCCTGATAGAACGCTGCAGAATGGAAAGCAGGCTTCACCCACCCAGTTCCTAATAGTGACATCACTGGAGTGCACGTGGGTAGTGATACCCTGGTGGAGAATATCAGGCCAGGAGCTGAGGGGTTTGCCATAAACAGCCCCCAACACTGATATAAACAAGGTTTCTGAGGCCCCAGCAGTCCACAAAGCCCTTGGCTGGACTCTAGAGGGATACCAAGCAACCCCTAAAGCATGCCACCTCCCCGGGGGCAGCTCTCTTCTCTCAGGGGGGCGGTTTGCCCAGGCCTCTGGTGCAGTCACTGCTGTGGCAGCTGGCCCCTCATGCTAGAAGGCTGAGTACTGGAGCCTAAGAGACCATGACTCCCTTTCCTACATGTGGCTGGTCAGGGCGTGTCACTGAGCACCAGGTAAAGGGCGGATTCCAGTGGCATGCTGGGTTACTACAGCAGGGCACTCCCTGGCTTGGTCAGAGTCCCACTAAAAGGCCTGCCATGGGCCAGTGGTCCTGCTTATTGGTTCTGAGAGTGAGGCAGGGCTCACCAGTTCTACTTCAGACAAGGAGTGGGGCTTAGGAGAAGCACCGGCCATGGCATGCAGGGTGGAGCGTCCAGACTGAAGTCTGACCACCCTGTAGGCTGGGTGTTTCGGTCAAGGAGAGCTCTCCTCACAGCAAGCTGCTATGCCAGAAGGAGCTTGCTTTGATGGCTTCCTGTGTCATGCAGCTGACGTGGCCATCAGGCCAAGGTGTCTGCACAAAGCCTGTCTCCAGGCTTCATGGCCTCCACATACATGGCTTGGGTAGATCTTTAAGAACTCTGTGAAGAGTATCTTACTTTCATGACCTTGAACTCCTAACTGTCCTTGGCTTCTACCTTGTGCATGTTGACTCAACTCTGTTGTGAGGTTCAGGTACTTGTTTTGTGAGTGAGCCAACAGCCCAGAGGCAGAGAGAGGTGTTTTTTCTGAAAGTCTTCTACAGTCCCTGGGTGCTAAAGTCCTAACTAAGGTCACCTGAACCAGTCCTACCCCATCCAACTGTGTTCCCGAGGCAGCATTGGAGCACTGTGGACCGAAAGCAGCTCTGCATTCTGCACTGTGCAGGGCTCGTCTGTGCTGATTTGTGAACAGAACAGCAGCCCTCAGTCTCACGCCTTTCTACAGATGGGGTACAATGGTGTGGGGGGGCTGCCTGACTCCAGTCCCGGATTGCACCCTCCTACTACCACCAAATACTCTAGCTCACAGGGGCCACTCTGCTCTACGCTGGGTCCCCAGACAGAGCCCTCAGCTGTACCAGAGGGATGCTGGGGGTGACAGGAAGCTTTACCTGGGACCTCTGAGTGGTGTGACTGGCTAAGCAAACATGATGCTGCCTAATCTGCACCACTCAGATGCTTCTGGAAGAGGGTTCTAAGCTCTCAGTCAACTCTAAGCCAAAACTCAAAACTGCGGGGCCTTTGGGTCTTTTTACCTGTTGCAAAACTTTTTCAGTAAATATCTCTTGGAGTCTGGAAATTTCAACAACTTTCCCTTCGATTTGCCTTGGAAAAAGAATCAATAGGTGACATGTTAGTTAGTAGCTCCTGGTAATCGAAGAGGAATGGTCTACATTCCTGAAGGCACCATCAAGGTGAGAACAACAGAAGATGGGCAGCCACTCCAGACGGGGAGAGGAGCTGGGCAGGCCCAGGAAGTCCTCGGCATAGCCCAGTTACTGCCTGATGCATGCTGGAGAATCAAAAGGCATGGTCACTTGGAAAGCCAGCCCATCGTCAAAAAGGTACATTTCCCTCCCAAGCCAGCTCCTTGTGCAAGAAAACGCCCCAGTTCGGTCTGTGGTCACCCCATCTGGTTTAGCACCTAAGCGCTTGCCCAACTTGAAACACTGGGTGAGCCCTTACCCCCCCCCCCCCCCCCCCCCGGCTTCCTGCAGCTTGGGGCACCCTGGGGTGGGTTGGGGCTGTATGGGTCTGAAGTGGAAGCTGGCTCAGGCTGAATGAACTGCTCCAGCACAGCTGGTGATCAGTCAGTGGCAGGAGGAGAAAGGTAACATGAATGGGAAAGGCAGGCAGGAGACAGGGAAGGAGCACTCTCCGGGTCTGGGGAAGGAATAGCAAGGTGGGTGAGGACAAGGAGAGCTAGGCTGGGAAAAGGGAGGCCTTGGAGAGCCGCCTTTGGGACAAAAACCCCTGGGGCTCTCCAAGGGGAGTAGCCCTGCCCAGAGTAAGTCCCCAGGCTGGGAGGGGCTGTACCCTGAATACAACAGGGCTGTCAAAGACCCAGCTGTTGCTTTCAGAGCACTACAGCACTCCTGGGGGACAAAGGCCCTTGAGTGAGCTCACTGGAGGCTCCAGACAAGTGAGTGTGAGCCTGGTCACCTGGAAGCAGACACTATTGGTGCAAGCACCTGTCACAAGGGCTCTACTATATTTTACAGCTACTCCACCTAAGGAGCCCTGAGGTGGTGGGTGTGGTCCCACTTTTGGGGTGATCTGTCTTTCTGCATGCTGTAGTACCCATAAGCCTGCTGTAGTAGTCAGTCTCTTCCCACAGGCCCAGCCAGTCCCACCCAGTTACATATGGGTGCTTGGGTGCCAAAGCAAATGGAAAAAGCCTGCAGTGTCTGGAAAAGCTGCCATCAAGACATTAGCTATACACACACCTCACTTCGTCAAATAAGCTGTTCATTTCACCAATGAGTCGCTGATTTTCTTGTTCAAACTGCAAAGAAACACATACACTCATGACATCAAATGGAGCTCAAGAAAGGGGCTACAGGGAACCTCTGGCCTTCCACCCACCTTCTAAGGATCACTGCCCAGTCCCAATGGTCAGCACAGGGCACTGTCAGAAGACTCTCTGAAAAATACCATACTTGAGGAAGAAAACGCTAGTCCACCCAAAGACCCGCCGAGCTGCAATGGCTTGCAGAGTCCCTCCCACAGCTGCACCCAGAAGCAGCTGATCCTAGCTGCTGGACAGAGGAAGGCAGGCGCAGCAGCTCCCACCCTTTCTGCCAGGAGCCCAGGGCTGCCACCTAGCCCTAGCGGCAACATTTTTAGACAGAGAACTTGGTGTGTGGAAGACTGTGCAGCAGAGGCTGGCAGGCTACTTGGTCTGTGACAAGGACAGTCCTGTGATCCTTGAGAATCTTGTGTGATAGCACTAGGGCTGCCCTACTGGTAGAGGTATGCACTACTGTATTTTTCAGAATAAGTACCAAGTCTACCCCATACTTTCCCTGTTGGCCTTGCCTGGCCCGGCAGAAGAGGCCTAAAGTAGATGTGATCTGGCTACTGCCCACCTCTGCGATGGCAGTCTCTGCCACTTCCACAGGGCGCAGGTGGGTGGGGCAGTTCCCAGCAGGACTCCTGAGCCATAGCAGGCTGCCTTGTAGCCTGGACACAGCATTGCTAATGGCTCTTTTCATTAAGCATCAAAGAGACCTCGTAAGAGAATAAAACATTCACTTTTGAGCCAGAAAGTGTCTGCTGTTGACTGTTGCTCAGCAGTGACTTAGGAGGCCAGTGTTTCCTCAGAATGTGTAATTACTTCAGCTGTAGGTGCTAATTTACCTGCACTAATCCCCTCAGGTATGGGTAGGCTTGTTTTCCAGGGAGGTATTTTCTTTCTTTTTTTTTCCCCCTAATGATAAAATATGGTCCTGCCCTTTTAAATCTTGTTCTCAGTTACTTTGAAACTGTTCCTAAACACAATTAACTATGAGTCTAGGTGACTTATTACTGGAATGTTGCCTGCCTTTGTTCCTGGTTTCCTCAGGTCCAGGCAGGAGGTACCGGGCTGCACTGCCTCTCTAAGCCTCAGCAGCTGTTACTTCTGAAAGAGTCACATGGGCTCCAGGGCCAGGCTCTGGTTCTGGTTCCCCTGAGCCCAGGGGTTCTGTATGCCATCTCAGAAACAGCCAGCCTCTCAAAGAAAAGAGCAGATGCCTCAAGCCAGCCCTGTGGTGAGGGGTGAAGAGAGGGGGCTGACAGTGGTCGGCAGCTTTGGTGAGAGCAGCCCCCACTGCAGGGCAGGTCAAAATGAAATGGAGTTCACAAAAACAAATAAATGGTCAAAACCTCCAAAACCTTGTTTCCCTAAGCCAGTGCTTCCCAACCTTCCCGATGCTGTGACCCTCTAATACAGCTCCTCAGGTTGTGGGGACCCCCAACCAGAAAATGATTTTTCGTTGCTACTTCCTAACTGTAATTTTGCTACTGTTATGGATCATAATGTAAATGTAAATATCTGTGTTTTCCTGCAGTCTTAGGTGACCCCTGTGAAAGAGTTATTCAACCCCCAAAGGGTTGTGACCCACAGGTTGAGGACCACTGCTCTAAGCAAGTGCAAGGTCACCACTTTCTGAAGTCTAGTGGGGTCCAGGTGTGGATGTTCACTGGTGCTGGTTTCAGGGTGGTTTTCTGAATGGCCAGCCTGCCCCAAAGGTTGGGTGGCAGGGGCAGGCACTCATATACCCCATGGGTATGAAAACCCATGTGAAGCCCCATGAAAATGGTTGGGTGGCCCTAGCTAGTCAACAGCTTCTCAATGGCCATCAGTTTTTTGTGGACAGTTGTGAGCCTTACCCTTTCCTGACTGAGGTGTAGTCACAGCTGGAATTCCAGTTCCTTCTCCTGTGAAGCTATCTTCAGGTAGGTGAGTAATCTAATCACTGTCCTTCGGCCTCTGTCACCAAAATGAGGACAAAAGGCCTTGGACAGTGAGGCCATTAAAACATGTGTGCTGTCTACATGAGCACTCTCTGGAGACAGACTCCAGACAGGTGAAGTGAGCGGTGAGGTACCTGACAGTCCCTGGCTGACCTCACATTCAACAGGGCAGCTGTGGCCCTTGGCTGTTTCGCTCTGTCAGGCTCTGGAAAATGCACATAGTCCATTTTAGGTCAGTCTAACTATGCGGCCACGCTGCTTCCTCACTTAAGTAGGGACTTGGCCAGGCACAGTGCTGAACCAAACTCCTGGTCTCTGTGGTCAGCACCACAGCAGGATGTCTAGATGCCCAGAGATGCAATGTGACCACAGTCTAAGAGATACTTATCACTTAATGTGCTATGTTTGGATATCAATTCTCTCCTGAAAAGGCTCATGGATGAATGAAGAGTTGGTTTCCAGCTGGCACATCCAGCCATTGAGAGGTTACTGCATCATTAATTATTCAGTAACTGATTCAGAATGATGAGGGATGTAGCTGAGGATGGGTCCAGCTGGCAGAAGTAGGTCAACAGGAGCATGTCCTTGGGGCAGCTGTAAGATGAGCAGCTCTTTCCCACCATGCCCTTCTACCATGATGCTGTCTCACCAGAGGCCCAGAGCAAACGGAGCCACTGACCATGGCCTGCACCCTCTGAAACCATGTGCTCGGGTGAATCTTTCCTACCTCGAATAGCTTATCTCAGGTATCTGTCACAATGAAGAATGGCTGGCATGCAGCAGCATCCTTTTTCTCTTAGATGGGCTCATATGTATCCCATACTGGCTTTCAACTCTGTATTGGAGGCTCTCCCGGCCTTCACCTCACAAGTGCTGAGATTACAGGTGTGCCCCACCACCTCTGCTTTCTCAGCATCACCCTAAGAATCTAGGGCCTGAGATCCAGGTGACCATGAACAGGTGTCTCCAGCTAACCACACAGAGGGGCCTGCAATCCTCCTCCTGAATGAGGGTAGTAACACAGCACGGGTGGAAGTGTTCAGGGCAGCCATGGTGAAAGCACAGTGTGCAAGCAACAGCTCCTCGGCCCTCTTCCTGTTACTGGTCAGCTAGCTGGGCTTGGTGAAAGGGCCCCTAGTCTGGTTTAAAGGACACAAGTCCATTGGTAACATCTTTCTGTAGAAAGCCTGTTTTTTTTTTTTTTTTTTTTTGGTTTTTCGAGACAGGGTTTCTCTGTGTAGCTTTGCGCCTGTCCTGGAACTCACTTGGTAGCCCAGGCTGGCCTCGAACTCACAGAGATCCGCCTGGCTCTGCCTCCCGAGTGCTGGGATTAAAGGCGTGCGCCACCACCGCCCGGCGAAAGCCTGTTTTTAATCTACCCATCTTTCCTAAGTTTTACAAAGAGCAGAAAATAAGGCATGATGAAGCATTCCCGTCTCAAGTCATCCAGAGAAGAAAAGTGAGGACTCAGGACTCAGACTCTCCCAATGACACCTATGTTCTTGATGCATGAACTATGCTGGGTCACAGTACGAAAGCTGGGCCAGCTGGCTGCTTGGGTTCCATGAGCTGCCTCAGGGGACAACTGCTACAGATACATTTCACACAGATTCAAGAAAGAGGTCCCACTCATATCTTTCAAAGTTACCTCAATGAACACATCACTAAATAAAGGTGACTTTGAGTAAAGTGAATATGGCACATAAAAGTAAGTGGGCTCTAAAAGGGAGCAATTTTCTTGATGTTTGACATTAGAAAACAACCAAGTTTTACTTAGCCTGCCATAAACCTCTGCTAACTCAAGGCCCATCCACCTGTACATGGCTTACACCTGGAGAGTGACTGTGCAAACATTCTGTAAATTCCTGCAGCCATTCTGCGATGCCTAGCAAGCATTGCTTTGGCTCAATGAATGAATTAAAGTGCCATTATAGGACTTAACTCATTATTTCACCCTGAAGGAAAGTTCCAAGACTGATTAGGAACTATGACCACAATTTGCTAAAGTACTTTTCAATGTAAAACCAACAATACAGTATTCTTTCCCATCATTTTTGGGATTTTTGAATTTGGACTAGTAAGACTTTACAGCATGACACTCAGTAAGTCCTCCCAAATAAGAACATCATTAGCTGAACACAAAGTAGCCTGTCATAAACGTTCATGACATCCTTCTGTCCCACCCACCTGCACCAACACAACACAAACTAGGAAGCACTGCAGACTCTGATTATATGTCACCAACGCTGCAGGCTCAAACGCCAGCCTTTTGGGGAATGGTCTGGTTGGGACAGAGGACATGAAAGCTGGCACCAGCAGTCCTGGGCGAGAGCCTCACGTCCTGACACTCATCTTCAGCTGTGGCAGGTGTGGGTCATGTGAACTGTGCACACGGTCTTCCTGGCTGTGCTGAGTGGCTCTCAATTGTGACTCCCCACAGTTCTGCAAGGGCATCCACTGTAACCATCTTGAGGTCCATTGAGGCTCATTCACTTCCCAAGTTATGCAGACAATTAGTGAGAGGGGAGGAGGAGGAGGATTCACAGCTGACTGCCTGGTCCTGGAGCCCTTGTTCTCCATCATCTCAGAAGGACTGAGGCATGAGATGGCAGACACCTGACTATTGCTACCTCAGGCCTACCTACCACACTGCCAGTGGCTTCTAAGTCATGTGCCTGCAAAGGTTAACAGACCTTTGGGGTTCATCACTGTTCCAGGAGAAAAGCAAAGTCCTCTGGCAAACCCCTGTTGAGTATTCTGGCTATCTAAGAATGATGGGACATAAAAGAGTGAGGTCCAACACAAATATACATTCTGCTTACACTCAACAAAAGTCTCCTTTCTCAATGAAGAGATTGAGTAGTACACATTAGCTCTAGCAAATTTGCAACATTTGGGGTAATAGACCTCTTCATTTCCACTAGCAAAGTTCTTTGTATAAACCAATGATAAGGAATGCAATCCAACTGTGTTCAATCGAATTTGTTGTTTTTACATCTCAGCCTGCTTCAAATGCAGCATTCCCAGGGAACACTCATGGCTTGTCCCATCCCTGTATAGTGTTTCTCAAGAACCTCCTCTAAGCCCATGGTCCTCCAGCTCGAAGATGCCTCTAGACTAAGCCCTAGACCCTATGACAGCCCACACCTTCTACCATGTCCACAGTACTTCCAGGCTGTCTGACATGGAATTCCTCATCTCCTGTTCCCCAATGCCCAGCCCTATGTTTGCCCTTCTCCTGACTGCTCAGGTCAGAAACATCCCAAGTGTCTGGTCCTCTCCCAGATGTCCTTCAAGGGATAGCTCTCCATCATCAGCTCCTCGAGGCAGCCGTTATTGCCACTGAGAGCAGTGAGAGGGCACAGAGGCTCCAGATGAAGGCAGGGTGGACTGCAGTCAGCTGTGAGTCCACAGTCCTTTCTTCTGCCTTGAGGCAGTGGCTCCCTGGGCTTCTGGCACGTTGGTTTTCACATGTTTATGCTACTTTCTGGAAGGAAAACTTTCTGTTTCAGGCAAGGAGGAGCAGGGAATCTGAAGAGTAAGAAGCTCTGAGCCAGCCACCTGAGCTGGGCAGCTGATGAGTCCTAGAATGCTCACTGTCAATGGCTGCACAGCCAGGGGCTGCCGTTTGGGAGACCCTCAACAAAACCCTGTCCCCTGAAATGACTGAGATGACAAACAACAGCACTTAACACGGGGCAGGTCACCAGGAGGAGGCGGTCACTGTTCTGACGGCTGCTCCCGCCATCCTTCAGTCATCAATCACTATGCTTTCCTTTCATTTCCATGGCACCAGCGACTCAACTGAGTATAAACACCATCTTGGCAAATATAAGACTCATTTAGCTTAATCTGGATGTCGACTATACTGCTGGTGAAGACACTTAGCAAGACCAACCAAGCTAACTTCTGTTTTACTATGCTACTGTCAATTGAAATCATGAAAATCCTACAGGAAGTAGGATATTAAGTGGAGAAGTGTATGTAAAATGTGTTTCTATGTTTAAAGCCCAGTATCAAATTAGGGCAAGGGCGTTTGCACAGCCTCCCACTCACTGAAGGTCTTAGGTCAGGCAGCTGAAAGGAAGCAGTTAGCATTACCATCTGTATCTCTTCTGGAGACAGCTCATCTTCACCCCTGCCATCGCCCCAGGTTCCCAGTTCAGGCTGTGCTTCGGCCAAAGGCTTTTCTGTTAAGAAACAAAACCATAAAGTGTACAAAGACAAGGCCAGCTATTCCTTTAGAACAGGCAGCTGAAGAAACAGGCACAAGAAGACAGCAGAAGGAGTGGGGTTCTGCAGCATGGTCCACATTGAACAGTTAGCTAATGTGCAGCAGCAGCTCCATGTCCACACAGTTGAAGTCTTTCTCTAGGACAGCCACATACCCTAGAATATGAACATTTTAATCTAGAGAGCCTTGTGTTCATGACCAGGCAAGCACACAACGGCCCCTCGATAGCACCGGTGCCTAGAAAGAACTGTTGCGCAGTGCAGTAGGTACAGCCTGCACATAGTCGTAGGGCTGCCTGATGGGAGGCAAGGACTGCTTAGTGAAGACCGGGACAAATCTGTCCCCAGAGTGACTCTCGTTCTGTGTGTCTCAGTGTCCCTGGGCTCCATCACTCTTTTGTCAGGAACTCAAAGGCAAATGCTGCATCTTTTTCCTTTCTCCTCCGCCCCAGTACACTTCCTGTTGAGCTTAGCCCTGTGGGACAGGGAGAGTTCAGGCTGCTCTGATCGGGAAAAGCATCAGAGAAAACTTCACAACAGCAGCAGTCAAGGGGAGGCAGATCATGCCCACCCTGTGTGACAGGCGCAGCTACTATTAGAAACACATCTACCCGAACAGTCACCTACACCTCAGTGCAGGTGAAACAGAGCTACAGACAAGGAGATACACATCGATATCACAGACTCCCCAGCAGAGTGGCACTGTTCTGAGGCAACACTCTGGGTGTGAACCCATGTGCTTTCACCCACCACCCGCACCTCTATGACTTCGATCTCCTGCTTGGCTTCAGTATGGTCCCTATTTCAGACTTTTCTTCCCTTTCTCCTTTGAATACAAAACCAATCAGAAACATAAACCCCATCATAATGGGTTCAAGTATGAATGAACTACATCAGGATGGAGAAGTTCTGTACTCTACAGGTGGTTCAACTGTATGCCACCTGAAGCCCTCCTGACCTGGGCCTCAGGAATCAGCCTCAAGTGCAGTGCTCAAGAATACTGTGCCAACCAGTCAGAGCCAGATGCCCTACCTGCATCTCGGGCATTCTGCAACCATATTTCTTACAGCTCCTCACTAACTGCAAGGGTCTTCTTTAATGACTACGTTCCACAGGGGCCTCCATGATTTCTGGCCTCTTGAGTGTTTTCTTTCTCTAACTGTTCCGTCTACCTACAAGTTTCTAAGCTTCTTTTTTTTGGGGGGGGGTGCCGACTCACTTGCTCAGGGTTACCTCTTCCTGAGGTCGTCAGGACCCTCTGTCTGTCCCCACATCTGCTTTTCCTAGGACACTCCTTACTCCCTCCAAGGAGCTGGTATCCCATCCTCCCTGGCAACAGTGAACTCCACAGGGGCAGGAACAATGGCTCACTTGAGAAATATATCTGAATACCCAGAAACCAAGATGGGCAAACAACTTATACCAAGACATGAAGATGCAGCCTTGCCAGGTAGAATGTTTATAGAAAAGGCCTTAATGCTGGGGTGGCAGGCCAACCAACAGAGGTGTGAACCTGCCGACTAAATGAGCAAGTGCCAAATGGCAGAGGGAGTATGACAGACAGGAGACAACTCTTGCCTAGAGCTGTACCACCTTGTTCTGTGCCAGAACACGCTGTCTAAGTAGCATTTCAGGTTTCAAAAGGAAATAAATACTGAAAGGCAAAGTAAGCAAAGGACACATCTACACAGGCCAGGCTTGAAGTGTTCCTGCAGAAAACCTAGTGCATGTCCACCACAGGAAGAAACACTCTCTACTGCCATGGAGGAAAGGGCAGACACACAGCTAGGGAAGGAGAGCACCTGGCTGTAGTGGAAGATTTTCCCTGTCAACACCAAGGCCGGGATGGGAGAAGGGCCTAACCAGGAAAACAGATAGCACATGGAAGCTGGATGCAGGTCTTTCCCTGGACAGCCTGGCCTGCTTCTCCCCTCCCTACCATCTCTTCAAAGGTGCACCCAGGCCATGGTTCCAAGCTGCCAGTTTCCTAGGATCCTCCAAGCTCCTAGCCCTAAGCCCTCTCTGCTCACTCACTCCACCATCAACACTGCACACTCAGTGGACACCTCATGCCCAACCCTGTAGGCCAGCATGTGGAGTCCCTTCCCCCACCTTGCTGCCAGATTGCACATTGAGCTGCACTCACCTCAGGCAGCAATGCCCAGCAGCTCTTCAGCCTCAAGGCTGTAAGTTACCAAGTGCTCCCATCCCCAAAATGTAACCCGAGCACTCCTCACTCTGCTCCATGTGAGTTTGGGTGTGTATGTGGGGGTGGTCCCTGGTGGCAAATGTCTTATGTGTGGGTTGCTGTAAGAAATTCCTGACCAGCCTGCCAGCTTCCACACCACCTCTCAGCTGTTTCCGAGCTTTGCAGATGTAAGCCATACCATGGCACACTCCAGCTTTGGAATGCCCAGTGTATTCCTACCATGCTGAGGTCCAAACTCTACCTTAGCATGTGGGCTGTATGGGTACGTCTCCCCATTTCTCCTCCCCCAGGACCAGGTTTGCCTTTTCCATGCTGCCCCCTCTGGAGGTGTGCGGTGCCTTGCGGCGGGCATGTGCTCCCTGATCACTGGTGGTGCTGGGTCCTCTCAAAGGGCTTATCTGTCATGAGTAGATGTTCCTTTAAGAAACTGCCATTAATTCCCTGTTTTTTATGGCTTTTGCATTTGTGTGTGTTCCTTGTGTTTTTTATTATTTTTATTTTTATTTTTTCAAGACAGGGTTTCTCTGTGTAACAGATCTGACTGTCCTGGAACTTACACTGTAGACCAAGCTGGCCTCGAACTCACAGAGATCTACCTGCCTCTGCCTCCTGAGTGCTGGGATTAAAGGCATGTGCCACCACCGTCCAGCCTTTATTTTTAAAAACATACTGTTTTGTTTGTTTGTCTGTTACAGAGAGAAAGGGTGTGGTGTTGGGTAGGTGAGCAGAAGCTGGGAGGAGTTGGGGGAAGGGAAACCATGATCAGAATGTATTGTATGAGCATTTTTTTTTCAATTAAAAAAGAAAAAAAAGAGGAACTGCCATTCAGATCCTCTCCCATTTTCCAACTTTGAGTTGAGAGGTCTATCTGTGTCCATCAGGTGGATGGAAGTCCCTCATCAGACGTGTGGTACAATATAAATGGTTTTCCATTCGGCGGGCTGTCTTTGCACTTCTTGGTGGCCTCCTTTGAATAGTAAGCCCCGGTAACTAGCGCTGGTCTCCTTGCTCCCATGTTTAAGCCGGCAGAGCATGTGAGCATGGATGTGAGTGCTGGAGCCCAGGTGCTTCCACATCACAGGTTCTTTGTCTCCTGTATGCTGCTCAAACCAGTCAGAAGACAACCTTCTGATCATGTTTCTCTAAGGCAGAGCACTAGAACAACACTGCTCTCCTTACACTCACAGATACCACAATGGAAGGATGTCAGTATAAGGACCTCGCTTGTTTCCCTATGAGCCCAAAGAAGGGCCATTTCCACTCACTTATGACACCCCAACACCCAGCCAAGGCCTGGCATAACATGCCATGTAGGCTTGAGGTCAGCGGTGAGACCTGGTATCTTCCCATGAGACTTCCTCGAGGTCCTCAGTCGGCACTGGCTTTCCCTGATCTCACCAGTGTGCATAGGGTTTACTGAGTGGGTGAATGACAATGAGATGCTGTGTCCAGCTTCAGTAAATTTAATTATGATGCTCCTGTCTTGTCTTCTAAGCTGTGCCCATGGATTGTAGGAAGCCCGGGCACAGGAGACGTACAGAGCTCCTGCCTGCTGGACCACAGCAACTACCAGACAGGGATAGGCTGAGACTGTGCAAGCAGAACCACCCATGGGGAGGGCTGTTGTGTGTCCTCAGTGCTGGGCTTTGAGCTCTTATATAACCTCTCTGAATTTTGGCTTCTTCACCACAAAACACAATAGTGCACACCCCCAAAGAGTCAATGAGAGTCTGGCCTGTGATTGAGTCAGCATGTGAGGCATAAGGGCTCCAAAAGTGCTATTCTCATTGCACAAAGGACCTCTGGTATCCTCCAGGCTGGTGAACCATGGTGCATGGGAAACACTTAAGAAATGAGATAGAGGTGGGCTTGAGAGCCAAACACACATACCAGTGAATCCTGGACCCACCATTTATGAGCTTTCACCTCAGACAGGTAGCCCAGGCTCTGAGCCTTTCAGAGTCTTCTCAATAAAGGAGACTCATGACACCCCAGTGCTGCATGCAGTGAGGTGAGGCAATGTAGAGCCACAGACACGGCAAATAAGACATTCAGGCCTCAAGGCTTCAGTGAACTGCTAGGCAGTGAAACCAGCTTGCTTGCTAACTCCTCAGGGATGCAGTACTCTGAGCACACGTCCCTACCCAGGCACACATGGACTGCACACATAATCAAACAGTCTGTGACATTCAGACTTGAAGGAGACTCTGCATTTCTTTGGCATGCGCTGTCAGGGACATCACTGTATCTGTGATGACAAGAGACACAAACCCATACTTGCACCTTGTCCCAAGGGCTTGCCTGGCTGTGGAGGCCCCGGACAAAGCATGCTCCAGCCTGGGGCAGTGCGGCTGGCTGTGCCAGTGCAGACTTCCACTGTGGCGGGTTATACCCTCTTCAGCAGACAGCCGGGATAGTGCCTCCTCAGTCTCCAGCTGGTGCACAGGAAAGCAGCCCTTCCTCAGGTCCAGGTGAACAGGCGACTCCTCAGACTAAACATTGCGGCTCACGCTTCTTTTGCTTTGGGCAGCCATGCTCACACCATGAGTCAGGAACTGCTGCCTCTCCCTGCTCTGTATTCCTGCCAAGAGGTCAGAAGGACCAACTGCCAAGCAAAACCTTTGTCCTGATTCATACCTGGCAACTCCTCGGCGGCAGGCTTTTCTTCCGAGTCCTGGGAAGCATTCTGTGAGGCTTTCTCAGATGGGGGTTCTTTCCTCTTTGTATTTGGCTCAGGTTCCAGCTTAGATCTAAACACAAATACTTAGTTATTTATTTTACCTCCCAAACAGGATCCTTTCTGACAACAGAAGGGGTCATGTGTGACTTGTGCATTTTTGCTCTGGTCTCTCTCCTGGGCCTCAGGAGTCACATGGACACTTCATACCTTCCTGCAAGGTACCATGTTGATGGTACACTGCCTTCTGCATTTCAGCCACAGCACGGTGCCTAGCATCTGCATGCTCTGAGGTTGCCCTGGAGACACCACACCAGGAAGTGTATGTACAGCAATCCAGTAATTTTACACTAATGTAAAAGTGTTGTCAAAGACACATGCATGGGACACACGCATGGATGCATGCACACACATGCTCTATCTTAAAAGAGTTTACCTATGAAAGTACAAGTCTTTAGCAGCTTGTTGAGCTAGGAAGCCTTTGCACGTAGTTTTCTTCCCACCTTTTCAGAAACTACTCTGCCCATGATGTGGTCTCTTTTTCTACCCATAGTGTGCATGTTTATCTCTGCCACCTAGAGATCTTCTCAGGCTTCCTTTTGAAATTTATTATTCATTAGCGTGCGTGCACACGTACATCTGCAGGCACACAGTGCACACGTGGAGGTCAGAAGACAACTTTTGTAAGTAGGTCTTCTCTTTCCACTTTGTTGAGGAAGGGTCCCTCTCATTTCTCTGGGAGTGCCCAGGTGATGTCCCTGTCTCCACTTCCCATCTCACTGCAGGAGTACTGCGACTACATAAGTGTGCTATAGCATCTGTTCTTTGGTTGGTTGTTTTGTTTTTAAACACAGGCTCTTAGCATCAAACTCAGGTTATTAAGATTGTGCAGAAAGTGCTTTTACCTGCTTAGCCATCTTGTTGAACCATGCATGTATGTATGTGTGTGTGTTTGTGCATAGGTGCATTCACTCATATGTGCGTGCATAGAGGCCAGAGGTCAATGTTAGGAGTTTTCCTCTAGAACTCTCCATCTTATTTTTATTGTTGTTATCTTGTTCTCATTATGTAGCCCCAGCTGTCCTGGAACTTACTCTGTAGCCCAGGCTGGCCTCAAACTCTGACATCTGCCTGCCTCTGCCTCCTGAGTGCAAGGACTAAAGGTGTGTGCCACCATACCTGGCTTCCACTCATTATTTGAGACAGGGTCTCACACTGAACTAGAGTTCACTATTTCGGCTAGACTGGATGGCCAGTGAACCCCAGGAACTACCTGTCTCTGCTTCCAGTGCTGAGGTTACAGGTTGTACATGGGTGTTAGGGATCTGAACTCGGGTCCTTACACTTGCACAGCAAACACTTCACCCCAAAGCCATCTGTGCAGGCCCCAGCTTACATAGCAAGTGGTCTCCTGTTCCTCCTTAGAGTGGGTCTGTGTCTTTGTGAGTTGTGTGTGCTGCTTAGCTGGATTAGTGCCTGCATGCAGTGTCTGCTGTGTCCTACACAGAGGTCCCCTGAAGGCCTCTGTTGAGGTCCAGTGTATGGCTTTACTGAGTAAAGCTTCAGGAGGTAGGGCTAGTGTAAGAAAGGCCAATGGGGATGTGCCCCTGCAGTGTCTACTGGGATCCTGGCTCTTTCTTTTTCTTTCTTCTCCAACTGGGTGGCACGAGGCAAACAGGCTTCCTTTGCCATGTGCTCCTGTCATGGACTGCATCACCAGGACCAAGCTCTCACAAGCTGAGACCTCTAAAACCAGGACCCCAACAGACTTTCTTTCTTTCTTTTTTTTTAATTTTAATTTTTGGAGCTAGAGTCTCACTATGTGGTCCTGGATGGCCTGGAACTTGCTATGGGACCAGGGTGGCCGTGAACTCACAGAGACCCACCTGCTCCTTTTACCCGAGTGCTGACCATGACTACTGACCTCTTTTTAAGTTGACTGTCACAGGTATTTTATCAGAGTGATGGGAATCTAACTAACACAGTGATCAACAAAAGCGTGTTGAATGAATGAATGTTTTATAAACACTAGTAAATGGCTAACAGAGGAGAAAAACTCGTCCTAAAATAATGTGCTGTAGAGCCAAGCAGACTTGGCTGTATGCATGACCGTAATCCCAGCACTCAGGAAACAGGCAGAAGGATTGTTGCCAGGAGTTTTATGACAATCTAGGTTACAATGTGCAGACAGAAGACTCAATCAATCTATCAATCAATCACAAAAATAAAACAATATGCACCATAATAGCTTTTACTAAAACCTACATGAAAATTACAGGCAGGATGCTGAAAAGATCCATGATATTTTTACCTAGCCAGACTGTGAGTAAAAGAGTAAAGTCAACTCATGCTGGTTGGATCTGGTTTACACACACCACTTAGTATTTGCCAAACAACTATGATGTACCAAGTACTTCTCTAAACACCTTATGAGGATAAATGCAGACAAATTTATCCAACTCCAAAACATCTCTCTAAGAAGGTACTAGTATTAAATGACCTTTCTTATAAAGAAGGGAACTGAGGCCACACAGTAGCTAGGCTGAGACAAGACCTTAGGGTCCCAGCTCCAGAGTCCGTGTTGTGTCAGCTCCATGAAGAAAGTCTCTTTAACCAACATTAATAGAATGAGTGGCTAAGCCATTCAGATCCTGACTAGACAAAGCACAGAGGAGGGAGACAACTGTCCACAGCAGAGACCTCACAAAGGGCTTATGTCAGGACATAGAAGGAACTCCTACAGAAGTTAACAAAAGGAAATGATTCAATAATAAAGTGTGTGAGAGACTTGAATAGATGTTCTGGAGGAAATATGGAAGTCATCTGTAAACACACATGAACAGGTGGTTAGCACAAACCCAAGCCACACTGAGATGATACTGCACACCCACAGGAAGACTTAAAACACGTTTGAACCACACTATATCCTGGGGAGAATGAGGATGAATCAGAACCTCACATAGCTGGATGGTGTATAAAATGCTGTTACCACCGTGGAAAACCTGGAACAGTTTCTTATTAAATCTCACAATGTCTCCACTGTAACACAGAAAACTCACTTTGAGGCATTCGCCAAAGAGAAAGGAAAAGGTACGTCCACACGAAACAATCAAGCAGTCACAGCAGACTTATTCGTAAAGAAAAGAAACAGAGACAACCCTATGCTGACCAACACGAGAGTAAGTGAGGCAATGGTGTGTGGTTCACACAGCACCATACTGCTCAGCAGCATGGTTAATCTTTTTAAAATGTGTAAAGAAGAGGGCTCAGGCATAGTGCTCACTGAGCATGCCTAAGGCCCTGGGCTTGATCCCAGTACTGCAAAACAAACTCAAAAGAAACCTTAAGAAACAAACAGGGCTTAGTCTGTATTTAGCATTAAGTATATTAATATAATTATAAAATGAGATACTACTTAACATTTTGGGTCAAATTAGTCTTGTAATTTAGTAATTGAGTAGCTTGACACATTAGGCAATTTTCAAACTAGCCTGAAAAAAACCATACCCATCAATCAGAATTTTCAATATTTTTCTCTGGTAAGTAACAAGTGTCTTGACATTTCTTGGTCTGATTTCTCATCTGTAAAACGGGGCTGTAAGAGTGTCCTTGTGTGGTCACTAGCTCCCCTGGGATGCTTAAGTAACAGAGTCAGCATTCTAAATAACAGCATTTATATATCAGATGTTGTTGTTTAGCCTTTAAATAACAGCTGAGATATCTAAAATGCAAATGCTTTCTGAGTTCTTCAAGAACTACGAGTATAGAATATTGAGAACTTCACAGGGTGAGAATCACTGAAGATCTTGACAGAGAGTAAGACTTTGGCAGACACAAGGACATAAAGGACATTCCAGGTATAGGAACAGGAGCTGGTCATTTACCTTCAGAGAATTATCATAGCTGGCCATTTCTAATGCATAATCACTGTGGACTCACTCCCCTACCTAGGAGGTTCTGGCTGCCCCACGTCCATTCCCTATTTTTAGTCTGGGTGTCTGACAAATGTGACCTGGTATTCTGTGTTTTAAATTTTATTGTATAACAACCACACACGGAGAAGTTTGAAGTATAAAGACTCCCTCAGTGAGGAAGTTCCAGCCTGATGCCCTCCACTTTTAAATGTTTAACATACTCCCTAAAGGCAGTGCGCTTTGATGTGACCACCACAACCAGAAAAGGCACAGGCATTTCTTACTCTCATCACTTCCTCAGAAGATTCCATTTTGACCAACATAGCCTGTACAGTCAGAGTCCTGGTCAGAATCCTGCATCGTGTTACCCACTAATGCTTTCTTTAATCTGTTTGGAATGCTTCCTTCGGACTCTCCTTGAGTTCCATGTACTTGACACCCAACACCCTGCCAGTCACTCCAACCATGCCTCTGAACTTAAGCCCGGTGCTTTGTGGCTGAAGCCTGGTGATGCCTTGGTAGAAATCACAGAAGCACTGATGCTCTTCGGGGGCATCTGCCAGCCTGTGTGTGACTTATCTTGATGGACATGGTGGCTGTCGGGCTCCTTGTTATAAGGTTTTTCTTCCTCTTTGCCAACAAGAAGCCAGGGGAAACACTTGACACTATAACTCTTTCAAACTTTTATTCATTCACGAATTTACTCCTGTCCAGATGGACTCCTGACGCCCTCTTTCACTCAGTGGGCTACACTTGCTGCTTTCCTTCAGTTCTCCCTGTTAAATGTGGCTGGTAGAAACCCCTCAGGGTAGCCGCTGTGACCATCAGACACTTTCCTACTGTTCTGTAATCCCTCCCTTGTTTTCTGATACAGCTCATTGCACACTTCTCCTTAATCCAGCCTAAGAATAGGCCATTTCTCCATGAAACCTGATCCCTCGAACCTGGAAGTGGTACTTAGAAACCAAGACAGGTGTGTGTGTGTGTGTGTGTGTGTGTGTGTGTGTGTGTGTGTGTGTGTGTGTGTGTGTGTGAACTATGACACATTGTATTTTTCATTCTAACCCCTACCACAGGTCTGAAGAGAGAGCCTGGCCTTTTCTCTCCTTCACACGCTGGAAAAAACTGGCTTGCTGCACTGTCTCAGCAGCTGTTGGATCACCTGTAGAAGCCAACACCCTCGGCTCCACCGCCACCTCTCCTCCTGGAGGGGAGCTAGCTGTCTTTGCATGCCCTCCCTGTCCCCTACCCTGGGCAGCAGCAGGGCTCCTCAGCAGCAGCAGACACTCACCTTGACCCTCCCCATCTCCTGGCTCAGGACTGCTTGGTTCAGGAAGGGGACGGGTTGCCTGCCTCTTGATGAGCATTTATTTCATGCCCATCACCCTCATGTCTGAGTGTGGCAGTGCCAGTTTTCAGTGTAAAATAAATAGAGGGCTGCAGAGAAGCAGACAGAGACAAGGATGAACACTTTTGTAAGGTGATAAAAACAGATTCTAATTATGTACAGAATGTCTACTGAAATCCTCAGGGAAATTACAAATTAGCTAGCTAAAGGCAACCTGGGGGAAAAAAGCAGTTTTTGAAAAAGTCACCACAAGAATCAGTTTATGTCCCCTGATTTATACTTCAGCATACTTCTCAAACTGAAGGCCAAGTACTGTCTAACTGGGATCAACACAGGTCCCTGACTTGAGAAGCCTTGGGACTGTATTTGAAATTGTAAAAGACCAAGAGAGAAAGAGATGGCTCTTCTTGTTTTGAAGCAAGCAAAAAATAAAATAAAATAAAATAAAAAGCATGGAAGCACACTTTGCAAACACAGAGAATCCATGCCATTCCAGAAGGACTGCTCTCTGCCTGTTACACGCCAACGCAGAGGGCAGAGTATGCACGTCACAGTGCCCTACTCCAAAGCGGCATCTGAGTTTCTGAGGCCTCTGAGTCACAGGGCCAGTGGAAGTCAGCTCACTCTACCTAAAGCCACTTCCTCCATCAGGCAGTCACTCACCTATCAGGTATTTACTGGGCATCTGCCACTTCCCAGGGAAGTTTTGTTTTCGTAAGTGTTCCTCAGAGTGTGGTCCACCGACTAGTACCAGAGTCCACACTGCTTATTCCTGGCCTGCCACAGTTAAGTATGAGAATGCATAGCACTCTGACAGTGCCTTTGTCTCACTGAACATGGTACAGAGCACTGGTGTCATCAGACCACTGTGGCAGGCCACCTGAGGCACAGCTGTGACCCTGCCATGCACAGGAGACTAACATCAGTCCCCGGGAGACTGCCAAAAACTACAAAGAGGTGGCCCTTCATGTCAGGGGGTGCTGCTCTAAAGCCAGGATCTACACAGGAAAAGGCCAGATGGTGAACATTTCAAGATCTAACTCGTATTCTTCCTTCTTGGTTTACAGACCTTTTCAAACACAATAAGCCAGGCTTAGCTGGAAAGCCATACAAAATGGGTCAAAGTCTAGACTTGGTTCACAGGCCAGTCTGCTCCTCCCTGTTCTAGGCAGCAAACAAGGCCCCATCATAGACAGTAAAAGAGGGAAAATCATCACTGTGGCCCTCATATCACATGCCATCTCTGCCTTTCCTCTCTAACTCCATCACTATGGCCATTCCAAACACTGGCAGCATCTGCTGAGCTCTCGCCATGTGCATGACCCTAAGTCAGGGCCTGCAGCAGGCTAATAATCCTGCTGAGGAGAGAGGGCTGAATCATAAATGACAGACTCTCTAAGTACTAGTTCAGTACGTGATGCTATGCATCACATGAGCACTGACATCTTCTCTAAAGAACAAGAAAAGCAGCATGAACTCCCTCCTTTGTGCTGACAGCAGAGAACACAGAACAGAGAATATAAGGGGCTGTGTGGCTGTGGATCACGGCAGTGTCTTTGGTGTGTGTTGGCCTGGGCAGGAGAAGGGCTTGATGTGCCCTCTCGGAAAGTGTCATCACGACACGGAGCCCATGCAAACAGGTCTCTGGACACAGAGTCTCCAGTGCAACAACAGACTCCAATGATACACAAGCTGTTTTTCTGGAGAGAGCATGTTTCTGATTAGCTCAGATGTTTTATGAGAGTACATACCACCAGAGTGTGTGATGGCCATTTCAGCTTCAATCACCCCAAAATATGAGAAATTTAAGGAGACAAAGAGGAAAAGAGGTGGATTGAAAATCCTCTGGGGATGTATGATAGGGCCACTTGTGCCAAGGCTTCATCCAATATTGGCCCACGTATTTCTAGTTTGTAAGCTTTTACTCTGTAACTCTATGAGCAGGAGCAGGCCGTCATGCCCCATTTGATGTCTCCTTCAGTCAGAAACCAATGGTTGAGCATCTACTTTGAAGCAAGCTCTGATCAGAAAGTTGGAAGACGATGGGCCTCACCTCTGAGCCTACAGTCTTACAGAGCAGAGAGATGGGATGCCCAGGGTAGTTATCCCTCTCTGGCTTGAGGCAACATGCAGCATGTACCACTGTCAGCTCAGAAAGCAAAATGCCATCAGGGTAGATGAAAACAGGTACCTTTAATGACAGCACTATCATTTACAGACAACATAACCATTGTAGGAAAGGACAGAGCAGTCAGCTGGGAATACTTCTGGCTTAATGAGCAAAGTATTTCCAGCAGTTTGAAGTAAGAGCCCTTTGGTACAGTAGATGGGTGTGACATCTCCACTCTACAAGAACAAAAGCTACATCCACACTTAAAACACTACAGTGAGCAAGGCAGGCGCACCTTAACAAGTACGTTTTCCTTCACCAGGCAGATAAGCGAGATAGTGACAACAATGCCACAGAACATCAGCGGGACTCCTCAAATCAACTTTTTAACAACAGCCATCAGCAACCCAAACCTAACCGTAGACAGAAACAACCCACCAACGACAACTGCGCACACTCTACCCACCAGCCTCCCCAAAGGACAGGCATTGCACCATGGGCTGAATTGTTTGAGGAGACACAAGTCAACGGAGGCTGCACGAGTGTGTGTGCTGCACCTGGCCGTGAACAACAAATGGGAACCTAGTAGAAGGGAGACACAGCGGGGGCAGCGGCTGGGACATGTCATAGGACAGGTGAAGCTTGAGTTGGGCTGGAAGGATGAGTGTGACTTTGTCCCCAGATGGACAGAGCAGGCTATGTGAAAGGTTCTATGGATGGAGAATTCAGTAAGATTTGGGCACAAGGAAAGCAAAGCTCCTTTAGAACAAAGTCACACGTAGGCCTGGCAGAGCAGATGTCACTGGGGACTGATTTAGAAACAAAAGTTATGAAACAGTCATTACAGCCTTGAGTTTGCCAAATTTGGCCTTGGTGAGACCTGTGCATAAGAGAGGCCTAAGATTAAGTATAAATTATATGTATGTTTTAAGAAGATGTCTTGTGTGTAAAGATGAAGAAAGACCAGAAAGAAGTCAGGGTGGTTAACACATGCCCGCAGTTCCACAACCCCACCATCTGGGAGGCTGAGGCAGCAGGATCAGCAGTCAAGGCCTGCCTGAGAAGTACAAACCTAAGAGGACAGGGCTGGACCACAGTGTGAAGAGTTACAGTTATTCAAGGTCTCAAAGGTCTTCTGTTCGGGGTAATCTCAGAGAGCAGCTATTTGGCAGGTGATTGACCCTGTACAATTCCCATCTGACTGCCGTCAGTGTGGATGCCGTCAGTGTGGATGTCAGAGGAAACCTCTGCTGAGAAGCAGGGCTGAGGCTGCAGTGTGCTGAGGCCTCTTCTTGTCTCCACCTGTGACACTGCAGCAGACATGTCTGCCTCTCCTCCTGGGGCTGTGAGAGCCAGTGACTGGTCTCCTCACCATACTGACAGCTAATCCTACAACACCAGAGTTGAACCTGCTCCCCTGGGTCCTCCCTGGGCAAACTGGCAGTACCATGCCAAAATGGGTATTGGAGTGGGGATCTTGAATATATTATGTCATATTGTCAGCAACATAGGGGAGCATGGTCACTGTGAAAACCCCTTTCAGAGAAGAAGGTATGGGGGGGGGCAGAGACCAAGGACAAATAGCTCCAAGGGTCCCACCTCATACGATTATTAAGAAATAGGGTGGGAAGCTGGGTGGGTGGCACATACCTGTGACCCACTCACTCTGAATCCTAAAGCAGAAAAAATATGGGTTCAAGGCCAGTTTGGGCTGCATAATGACTTTGAAGCCAGCATGGACCTCATAGCCAGACTGTCTCCCTACTACTCCCAACCAAAAAGAAAAAGTAATTAGGTAAATGCTCAATACCAGTTCAGCTGCCATGAGACTGTGGGGTCACGTGAGTTTAAAACCCACTGAACCTCAGTGTCATTAGGAAAAGAAAGAGAGAACCTGCCTCACGACCTGCTGTGGCTAACAAGAGTGACCAGTACCACCTGGTTCACAGTATGTCCTCAGCTCCTATGACAGCATATGGTACAGACTTCATGCACACAGGCCCACAGAGTCAGTGCTTTAGGAGCTCAGGCTGCCATTCCTGTTGCCCGTTTTAACTGAAGAAGGAAGGGCAAAGGCAGAAATACTCACAGTCTCTTCTTATCCACCACACGCTTAACTCGGATGGCTCTTTGTTCAGAGTAAAGCTTACACACTCCTGTTGAAGCAGAAAATACCAGAACAGAGACCATTTAAAATGGCTTCTCAGGCAAAGGTATCATTAACACTAATGAAACACTATGGTCTTCGGCTAGCAAAGCTATTCTAAATTGCATCTCTTATGAAATACCACATTTGACCTTTAGAAGAAAATGAAATACTTTTTAAGTAATCTTCAACGAAATCCAGAACTGCGGTCCTGTGCTCCTTCACTTGCTGGGAATGTATCTCCTTGTGGGCTGTAAGAGAAAAGGACAGCACTCAGGTCTGTGCTCAAGGACTCCACAGAACAGTCAGCTTCCTCAAAGCTCTTCATTGAAAGCATGTTCAAAAGCCCAGCTATAAACCAGCCTCGTGTCAAGTGAGACTACATTTTTAAGAGTAAGATTTACTAGGGTTCACCAGGTGAGAGATTAAACCCATCGAAACTGCAGTCAAATAATTTATAGCTTATTACAGCACCGGGGGAGCTGAGTTGATCCAGCTCCTTCCGGAATGCTGACCTGGCTGTATTAACAGCATCCAGTGCTCAGGCTCACCTTCAAGTGACATGCTTAAATCACACATGCTGGACCACAGACACCCTCCCTCTGCCTGCACTGCTTTCAGCCTACAGTGACTACTTTCTCCCTTCAGACACTGAGTGACACTATCCATACTAGCCTGCTCTCCAACAACTGTTCACATTGATGAGCCACAAGGGCAAGCTACCACACAGAAGCCTGTGCCAGTTCCTATGGTAAGACCCTGTTCTTGGTGGAAAGGCTGGGTGCCTAGTGGGCAGGCGTGATGATAGGACTTCATAGAAATACCTCAAGTAAGCCAACTGAGTCCAGAGGCAAGAGGTAGATGAAGGTCACAAATGCCTATGCCCTTAAGGGTATGGGGCACAGGTTATGTTTTTACTAGAGGGGCTATATAACATAGGACTCACATGAAGATTGGGTAGTCTGCAATGCTGCACACCTAATTTTGTATGATGCATATTTTTCTGGTAAGTTTTCATCAAGACTCTCCCATTGGATGATCCCATGTTCTTTCAGAAGCTTCTCCACTAGAAGTCAGTCATGAGTTCGACAGTACTTGGCAATTTTGACCTCTGTAGTATTAATGTATGTGCTTAAAAAATCAAGGAAGACACATGGCTGGGAAGCCTAGCTCCTCTACGGGGATGAAGCCCAGCGAAGGGGAGATAACACTAGGCCCCTAGGACCAGGCAGGGTTCTAAGCATGCTGTGAGAACTTAAGTGATACGCCTAACTCCTGTCTGTACTGTTTCAATGGAGAAGTTGAGCCCAGGGAGACGAAGTGACTTGCCCAAGGCCACAGAGCTAGCATGTAGCAGAGCTAGGGTGCATTGCTTTCAAGTCATGGAAGCAGAGCTTCCTCTCAATCACGAAGTCTCATATGGGGTTGACTTTAATAGGACAACAATTAGAGACTATTAGTCCATCCTTAGCCACATTTATGTCATCTGTCCTGCCACTCAGAACATAGTCATACATGCATGTCTCCACAAATATGCAAATGCTTGCACACACACAATCTGTTCCCTTTGACCTTGGCCTTTTGGTAGGTTACAGATTCTATTTAGAGAGGTCCTTTCTATTTATTTAACTTGAGTGACAGTCTTTTCAGGACTCTGAACAGCTTAGCTTAGAAGACTGACCAGGAAGGAAGGATTTTCAAAGTTGAAGTCCTAAATGCCATTCAGAAAGAAAGAGGGGATCATAAATGGCTGCACCATGAGTGTTTAACTGGTTGGCACATTCATGGGATCTGTTGGCTTCTTTCAGAGCACTTCACCTTCTGTTCGGAGTTGCTGAATTGCCTCTGAACAGGTCTTCATGAATATCTGAGCATCCTGGTCTATCTGGTCTCGCTCTGTGTCCGTCATCCTCCCATATTCAGACATGATATGGCTGAAAAAGAGGAAACAATTTGAGGGTGGCATCAGTAAGACATAATGCAGTCCAGGTAGAGTGTCAAGAAGAAAGGTTTCAAGCTGGGTGGTGGCAGCGCACGTCTTTAATCCCAGCACTCGGGAGGCTGAGGCAGGCGGATCTCTGAGTTCAAGACCAGCCTAATCTACAGAGTGAGTTCCAGGACAACCAGGGCTACATAGAGAAACCCTGTCTCAAAGAACAAAACAAAACAAAAAAAGAATTAGAAAGGTTTCTCTGACCAAATGACACCAAAGCAGAGACTTGGAGGGGGCTGGCCAGACCAACAGGTGGGAGAGTGATCTGGAGAGTGGAACAGAAGCCATGAGGTACAGTCTTCTACAGAGCTTCCACAGAGGCGGGCCAATATAACAGGCTGCGACACACAGCTTTGCGAGGAACAGAGGCTCCGACTAAGGACTGCATAGCCCAATAACTATGTTAGAGTCCCAAGCCGCTCAGCCTGCATGCTGTAGGGACACGATCTGGGGGTATATGAAACACAAGAAACTTCTGCGGGCTGTTTTCTGATTCTAGAAAGCAGTTTTCAAAACTCACAATAAAAAGCCTCTAGAGCCAGGCAGTGGTGGTGCACGCCTTTAATCCCAGCACTTGGGAGGCAAAGGCAGGCGGATCTCTGTGAGTTCGAGGCCAGCCTGGTGTACAAAGTGAATCCTTTGGACATCTAGGACTCTTACACAAAGAAACCCTGTCTCAAAAAAAAAAAAAAAGCCTCTAGAAATAAATTTTATCTCTCCTGATGTTAAGTTAAACCATCCTGAAGTGACGAGGCTGGTAGGGGCATCCACTTTCAGTAACAAGGCCCTGAACAATATAGAACACCTAGCTCTCCTTCACAAGCGCTGACTGAGTGTGGCAGCATAATCAGTAACAGCAATACTCCTTAGCCTATTTCAAAACTGTGGACTTCACAACGGAAATTTGGACTCCCAATGCTGCAAGCTGAAAGGGCACTTATGTAATGTAGACACTCAAACCACCCATTTCACTCACCTGTCCATCTAGCCACGAGGACAAAAGATAAAGTCCTGACTGTCCTATTTCACCTGTGACCTAGGTCATAGCGTTTCCACTCTGTTGTGAGTGGCTCTGACCACTGGTCTGTCCCATCACTTACTTCACTCCAGAAACGATGGCCTCCCATGGAACTCACCCAACATTACTTTTTCATGCTGTGCTGGTCAAGAGATTATCATGTCTCCTCCAAAGCTGCTTTGGGACAGAGCTGGGACCACCTCTGACCCTCACCTCTAATGCACTGCTGTCAGCTTCTGACCCGGCTTTACTTTAATTTATTGCACTTATTGTTCCCAGAAATACCAAAAAGTCTGTTTTTCTCCTCCAAAGCTATGTGGAAGTAAAGACTGTCCACCTTGTGTCTGCTTCCCTGGTAAAATCATGCAGCACAGGGTCCCTGACTAACACCAGTCAGACACTGAGCATATGCCAGGTTGGTTCTCAGTGCTTTATGTATATCCGATTTCTCATTTAATCCTCACAAGTCATTCACTCCCTTAGCATAAGTACTAAGTTGGGTTCAAAACTGAGTAAGGCTTATTTCCATTTCCACAAAAGGCACTCAATTGTAGGAGTGATCAACATGAAACCAGAGTGCCAAGAACTGCACTGACTGGTGCTGATGTGGAAGTGGACAGTAGAGCTCAAAGAGGAGCATGGTCAGCACATGTGGGATGGGGGTGCTGGGCAGGGCAGGTGGAACAGAATGCATGCCGACAGAGGATGGAGACAAAGACCAGATATGATTCCTCACGCTGTGGCTTATTGTTTGAGTGAACATATAGTATCTACTTCACACCCAGGCACATGTGAGCAGGAAGGCTGGCCCTGTGTAAACGAGGCACCTGGTTCTAGAGAGGGGTAGTGTTGGGGTCCTGGAAAAGTCCCACAAAAGACCACCATTCATGCATGCAATCAGCAAGAGCATTTATTATCTGGAGAAAGACTCCAGTATGCCGGGGCTGCCATCCCACACAAAGACAAAATGGTGACAATGCTGAGAGGAGCCCACAGGCTCCTTTGAAGCCCAGCCAAGGGGAGTTCCTAGAGCATTAGGTCATCTTAGATAGGACTGGCTTAAGCAAGTGGCAATCATATTAGTATGTTCTAATTGGCTAGGGCTAATTAGGGGCTGGTCAGGGCTACAGTTTTCCATTTTGGGGCAGGCCTGGACAAGTCCCAGGCTTTGTTTGGTTACCTGCTGACTGTGGTTCAGGCCTGGCCTGATACTGCATGTAGCAGGCCTCCTTGTCCTTGCTGTTGGGGGTGCTGGAGATTGATTAATTGCCCTTTGTGGCTTTTTCAGAAACTGCTTGTTCAGTCTCAGGAAACTGAAATTGAGGCCTGATCTCTGAGAGAAGATGGAGCAGCCTGTTATGGCGCCTCCTCAGTCTTCTCGGCAACACTGATGTGTCTGGCACATGGCGGCACCATTCCTCCTGAGATAGTGTGACAGTAAGCACTTATTTAAAACTCAAACACAGACACTACACCCTCCACAAACACAGACACTACACCCTCCACTCCCAGTGCTGCCTTCACCAGCAGGATGGTCAGTGGAGGACTGTAAACAGAGCCATTTGCACATGGTTTGTTTTTCCATAGCACACTGCCTCAAGACTGAAGAATCCTGACCTCAGGTGCTCTAATCCCAGTTGAGGGACCACTGCCATTGTCCAAGAAAATTCGAAAGGCTAGGTGCAGGCAGTGTCTTTGGGGTGTAAAGGTGATTGATCTAAGAGACACTGACAGGCAACATGGACTGCTTGGGCATGGAGGCAAAGGAAAAGCCTAGAATGCAGGTCTGTGTACACAAACACACATCACACCCAGGACAGAAGGCCCAGGCTGGAGGGAAGGAGCTTATGGTACTGAGCCAAAGGTGTCAGGCCAAACTGAGGGCTTTACAAGTGGGAAGCTGGAACACTTATAAGAGCGCTCCCTACTCTGCTGCTCCACTGTGTTTTAAAAGCACGAGATACACAGTGTGTGCATGTGAAACAGAGAAGGCTAAAGTTATCAAGCCACAGTGAAGTTACAATAGCAAAATTATTACTATTCTGAAAAGGTTAAACATCTTGTAAACAATTCCAAGCTATTCTCATGTGACATGCATATATAAACATCAAGTTTTATTTCCTTGATTATGAGGAGAAATAACTGTGTTACAGATCTCAATATAGCTAAGTAGTAGATTCAATTAGAGGAGACTACGTTAGGTATGAATTTGAATTGGTCAATTTACTTCAGGAGATGGCAGGGGAGTGAAAAAATACAAATTTATTTGCTGGTTCAGAAATTTAAAGGAATATGTTTCTCCTTCTGACTTGGTTGGCGGTACATTAAGGAATGACAAGTTCAGGGTCAAAACATCACTGACTACAATTTTATATAGAAACAGCCATGCCCTGAGGGTAAAGAAGAGGCAGAAAATAGCAAATGCTTTACTGTGCCGGGTGCTGAAGGATATGGCAACAGTTTACGAATATAGCCTTGTTTTTGCTGGAAATGTTAGAGTCACAGCAACTTTATAGTGTACACTGGGCATATAATATGCATGGTCAATACACATTATGAAGTTAAATTGTTAATGCCTGGGCTACACACAGGAGCTGAACGCAGACCCTGCTTTCAATACATTATCAAATAGGTGACATCGACAGGCCTATGCATATAGACACGTTATATCACACAGCATAGGCTAATGGTCAGCAATACTTTCATGAACTGACATTGACCAGTGTTCTAATCTAGGGAGCTACATACATTTACCTACTTAATTCTCAAAACTTCCAGGTAGGTGCTATTATATTCCCATTTTACAAATGAACCAACTGAGGCACAGAAAGCTATTTAACTTGCTAAGGTTGCACAACTAGTTATTAACAGAGATGGGGTTTGACCAAGGCAGCCTGCTCTGGAGTCAGACTTCAAGAACCCCCATAATGCTTCTGTGGAACCAGGTCACATGGAGGCCACCCTTGCCTCAGTCTCACTATGCAGCTGAGGAAGACCTAGGAATTCGGAACCTCCTCGTTCTACTTCCCAAGTGCTGGGATTACACGTGTGTGTCACCAGGGGCAATGAGGCAGGAGAGTTTGGACCAGGATGCTTGTTTCCTATATTGGTGTGTGTTTGGGGGTGGTGGTGGATGGGGAGAGAGGAACCCACAAACTGATCCTTGAAAGACAGGAATGGCTGAGGGAGGTAAGAGTAACTATAGCTGGAGTTTTCCTGCCTGGCCCACGGTCAGGGCAAATCTCTCTCACCTGCCAGTCCCACAGCCGCTCAGACCCGACCAAGTAAACACAGAGACTTATATTGCTTACAAACTGTATGGCCGTGGCAGGCTTCTTGCTAACTGTTCTTATAGCTTAAATTAATCCATTTCCATTCATCTATACCTTGCCACATGGCTTGTGGCTTACCAGCATCTTCACATGCTGTTTCTCATCATGGCGGCTGGCAGTGTCTCTCTGACTCAGCCTTCCACTTCCCAGCTTTATTCTCCTCCTTGTCCCGCCTATACTTCCTGCCTAGCCAATGGCCAATCAGTGTTTTATTTATTGACCAATCAGCAACACATTTGCCATACAGAACATCCTACAGCAAGTAACAATGAAGGCAGAAGAGAAGGGTGAGGACTTCAAACTGGCTGGAACATAGGGCAGGTGGGAACGCTGTCGTTAGTGGCCTTCAGAGCTAGTCAGGGACTCTGCAGACAATGAAAAGGCTGGGTGTACAAGGAGAAATGACGGGACAACACGTTACATGGAACAGTGGTAGAAGGTCAGGCCTGGGGCTACTGACCTCCAGCTAAGAATCTTGCTTTATTCATCTCTATGTTTATCTGTTTGCATCCTTTGTTTGCTTGTTTGTTAATCAGTGCTGGGGCTGAACCCAGGGCCTCATACATGACAGCAAGTGTATGCCCAGCCTCTCTCTGTTTCCTAGCACTTATAAAGGGTAGGGGCATGATAAATTTTTGTCAAACTTTATTTTCAGAATGGAGCTACTGGGTTTGGTGGAGTACCCCCTGGAATCCCAGGACTGGGGAGGGGAGGTAAGAGGACTGGGAGCTCAAGGTTAGCCTGGGCTACATAGAAACCTCGCCTCCCCCCCTCCCCCCGTTTCAACAAGGCAAACATAACAGAGGGAGGAGAATGGCAGAGTTTGGGTGATGGCACGAGGTTCAAAAAGGAAGAAGCAGGGATGCAGAACTGCCTGGAACTGGGCCTGTGTGTTCAAGAAGAAACAGAACACAGAAGGAAAGCAGGAAGTTAAACTGGGAACTGAGGGCAAGCAACTTCAGCAGAAACGAAGTAATGCTCTGGAGACAGAACGCCCCACGACCAACACAGTGCTCTGAAGGACGGACCAGGGCAAAGGCTCTTCTCTATGTGGTTAAGATCTTGAGGAATGATGGATGGTCTCTGAAGTGCTACAACTTAGTGAAAGGAGAGTCAGTGAACTTGAAACAAAGACATCTGATGACCCATTCAACAGCCCCACTCAGATGTTTACTCTGCATTGCACATATGTCTAAAACTGAGTTCCTGACCTCTCTCTTCAAACATGCTCTCCAGCAGCTTTCCCTAGGATGTGCTGGTAATGATTCCATCCCTTCCTGCTGCTCAGGCCACAAACCCTGACATCATCCCTAGCTCCCCTTTGCCTCGGTTTGTATACATCTATCTACATATCCTGTTGGCTCTACCTTCAAAACATTCCCTAGAATCTATCTACCAACATCTCCCAGTCTGCAACAGAAGCTGACTCCAGGGTCTGCTGCTTCTACCCAGACCTTCCTTGTCTACTCGGCACACCAGCCACATGGGTGCTCTTACATATTTGGATCCTGTGAAGCCCTCTGCACAGGCCCTTCCAAAGCTCCTCAGAGCAAAGGCTGTTAGGATAGACAAGGCCATTCTTGAGGAACTCTCTTGGCTCATCTCACACACCTCAGCCCTTGGCTTGGGTTCATAGCTTTCTGCTCCTCCACCTTCCATGTTGGTTGCACACGGACCTTAGAAGCCCTGGCTCTCCTTCTGGAATGTTCTTCCCAGGTGTCTGAATAAGTGACTCCATACTTCCAGTTACTTCTCCTACTCTGCAGTCTGAGTGGCTCTTCTGGAAGCACCGAGGTGAAAGAGGTCAAAGGCTCCTGAATTAGACTGATGCTGGCTTCTGAACAAATACCTGCCACCAGGGTGGACCTAGACAGCACTGGTTCCAAAGGCATAGGACTAACATCCTCTGGCTCTATAGTCCCAGTTAATGGAGCCCAGCTGAGTGAGAGTGAAGGTCTAAAGGCTAATCTGAGAATACTGATTACTCGGGGAGGAGGGGAGTCCTCAGATACATTATACAGAACCCACTTGACCTTGGATACTGGAAACTGATGGAGCTTTTACTCTTTTAGTAGCAACAACAGAACTAACAAAGTTGTTCTCCCAAGTGGCACTGTTTTGTTGCCAGGGTATCATGGAAAAGGTACAGAATGGAGAAATTATTTTAATTAAGGTCATTCTAAGATCCAGCCAGAGGCTGCCTAGGCTGCATGCTGTTCTGCTCTAGTAAAATGTCATTATTAAAAAAATTAAATGGGTCAATAAAGTCTGAGCTCTACATTCTGGAAAAAATTATAGCTTCCTAATTATGTCAAACTAACAAAGCCTCATGGTCTGAAGGCAATATTTCTACCCATGCTCTTTCAATTCTGTGATTACACTGCTTATAAAATGTTCCTAGGAGCAGGCCAAGGCCAGTACATTGTACTGGGAGGGAGGCTGTAAAGCTGAATGGCTGGCAGTACTCTACAACCTTAGGGAAAGAGAACTTGGTGGGAGTGGATGAGGGAGGCTGGTCTCCATCTTCAGGGAGAGCACAGTGTGGGGACACTAGTCCTTTGTCCTGGCACTTCCATGTGCATTAGTTTCCCCAGAGTGAACCTAGGCTTCCCCCTCTTCAGCCTCCCAAGAGAGGAGCAGGAATTTCCCTGATGAGTACTCTGGCCAAAGGAACTGGATATGTACCTAGCCCACTCCCCATCTCACCCTCATCTCCAGACTGGCCTGCCCACAGACAGCAGAGGTTCCCTCTGTTCCACTCTCTCCTAGCAAAGGCACCTGGCCCTGCTAGCTGGGAGCCAGGGACTATGACTGCTCAGCGGCACTAACCTGACTGAGTCTAATTTAGGACCAGAATATCACAAACCAGCTCACCTACAGTTTCAAGTTCTGCCTGTTGGCCTAGTTTATCCCCATCCAGGCTTTATTTGATGGTCAAAGCATCATGGGTCATCAGAGTTAACTCAATCATCACTCACCAAGGGACTCTTGTGTGCCAGGAATCCTCATTTAATCCTCATAAGACCATGGTTCATGTTGCATCAGAAAGAAAAGCACAGAGAAGTGATGTGAGTTGTACATATGGACTGATACTCAGCCAAACTGGACAGAAGTATGTCTGGTCCCAAAGCCCATGCTCTTTCAAAGGCAGGAGACCAGGGTAGGCTAGAACTGGAGTGTAAGGGCTAGCAGAGAAGACTAAATTTCTACAAAATGCTGGGCTGCTATAGAGTAAAGAAGCCTCAGGGACATAGTTCTATGTGCTGCTCAAAGGGGCTAAGGATGTCCCCAGGGTCCTGGTCATCAGCCCCAGCATTTGCTACCACAGTGGCTGGGAAGAGACAGGCTTGGGGCTGCAGTGGGCTGAACTGAGATGCCAGTCTGCTGTGCAGTCTGGGGCCCCTGGGAACTTGCTCTGTCCCTCCTCCCATTACAATCATCTTCAAATTCTACTACACAGTACCATTCTCCCAACAGCACTGAAACTGGAATTTCACATCATTTCAAATGTGGCAAAAAGTTATCTTCTTTTATCTCACCCTCAACCATTTACACACATGAAACTGACCTTAGGTAAGAGCCTGTATTGAAACAGGCAGTGGGCAGAACCTAGCCTGGAGATTAGATGGGTTTCGGCGACTCTTACAGTGCTGGGGTGGCCTGAGCCAGACCACCTCCATCTCACCATCTAGCGGCCAGATGCTTTTCCAAGGCAATGGGAGTGTTAACAAGGAGCCTTGAACTTTTAATGTGGATGAAACACCAGGATTTATTGTCTTTGTAACAAAGGAGCTTGGAACTGGACCTCTTGACCTTTTCTCCTCTTCTCTCTTCCTCATTCAGAATCGTGCATCTTTTAACTGCCAGAATGTCCTCATGTTTGCAGCTACATTCAACATTGTTACTCAAGCCTCAGCACAATGCTCTTCCTAGTTTTGGCTTTTATGGAAAATTGGCTTAGTCTGGGCATGTAAGCATTCTGTTATTCTTGTACTGTGCCACTGATGGGGTGGCTCCTTCTTAGTCTTTTCCTGTTGCTGCGACAAAAACAACTTAAGAGTGAAAGGCTTTTTCAGCCCAGCGTTCAGGGTATGATCCATCGCAGAAGGCATGCCAAGGCGGCAAAAGCTTGAATCCGATGATCACACTGATCACATTGCATTCACAACCAGGAAGCAGAGAGCAATGAAAGCTGGTGCTCGGCTTGCTATTTCAAAGAGTTCACAGTCCCCACCCAGGGGAGGGGTCCTGCCTACAGCTAAGGTTAATCTTCCCACATCGGTTAACCTGACCTAGATAATTTCCACGGGTACTCAGAGGCTTATCTCCTAGGTGACTCGGGGTCCGGTCAAGTCAGTTGACAACACTATCACAGAGCTCCACACATGTCTAGCAAGCCTGGAAGCCTCAGGAATGGTCAGCATCCCTGTGTGAGTGCCACTGGCAGGGCAAAAGACTTTCAAGAAAGGTCTATACAATTGCACCTGTAGCCTCAGCAGTTAGAGACAAGGAAAAGGGCTGGAAATTGCTAGGCTCCAACCATTTCTATTTCCTCAAATCACTGCAGCTTCTAGATAGCAACCTATTGACTTAGTACCTGATACAGAGACACACCTTCAGAAATAAAATTTACACTGCCATCTAGTGTTCAGAGCCAGCTAACAGAGGGCTTTATGACGCAGTACAACGCAGCAGGATTACAAACATCTCAGAGTATTCTGAGACACTAAAATGAAATATGTTTAAAAGCATAATATTGCTTGTTAGGTTTGGGGGCTGCTCACAGTCACCTTGGATATGAGGTTCTCTGCTACCCGGTTCACAACAGGACAGGCACTATTCTCAGGCGCAGTGAATACAGCAGGTGTATTCACTGGACCCATGGATTCCTTCCCTCCTTTCTGGCATTTGGGTAACTCCTTTTCCTTCAGACCTCAGCTCGGGTGTCACTTCTTCAAAGATGTCTTCCCTGACAAGGCCAGGGTCTCCCAACCCCCCGAGCTCTACTTCTGTGGTGCCTCTCCTGTTTACAGTGCTGCCTGCTTGTGTGACAAGGAGCGGAATGTCTGTCTCTTGCCTGGCATGGAGTGGAATGTGTCACATGGTAGGCACTCAGTAAAGATGAGCAGGGGAATTCAGGGCTAAATGAGACAAAAACTACATTTGTTACTTAGGAGTGCCCCTCACAGATGAACAAAGACGACTGAGTGTGTGGGGAGATAGAGGACTGCCGTCTGTCTGGTGTAGCAAGTCTTTCTACTGCCAACTCCCAAATAATGACACAGAGACTTCTTACTCACTGTGAAAGCTTGGCCTTGGCTTAGGCTTGTTTCTACTTAGCTCTTATAACTTAATTTAACCAATTTCTATATTAACCTACATGCTGCCATGTGGCTAACGGCTTTTACCTCTCTTCCTGCATGTCCTGCTTCCTCTGAGTCTAGCTGGCAACTCCACCTTTCTTCTTCCCCAAGTCCTTTCTGTCCCCATAAGTCCACCTAACCTCTTCCTGTCTAGCTATTGGCCATTCAGCTCTTTATTAAACCAATCACAGTGACACATCTTCACACAGTGTAAAGGAATATTCTGCAACAGTCTGACTAAAAAGTGGTCCTCTAAAGGCCTGTGTTGGAGGCCTGGTCCCTCCAGCTGGTTAGTACTGAACCATGACTGGATCGTCAGTCCACAAACAGCATCAAGGAGCTATTAGCAAGTGGGGCCTGTCTGGAGGAAGCATATCTGTAGACATGTCTTTGAAGGGTGGTAGCTATCCCATTTCTCTCAGTTCTTGGCTGCTGAGATGTGAGCGACTTTGTCCTGCCAAAGTCTCTGTCATGACTCATGACTTTCTGCCTTGCCAGGCCCACAGTAATACAGCAAACTGACCATGAGCTGAAACCTGTAATCAGGAAACAAAATAAACCATCTCTACGTTTAGGTTGCTCTCTCAGGTATTTGTCACAGGGATGAAAATCTGACTAACACAATAATTAGGGTATGTTTCAAATGCAAAGTAGAGACAAATAAGACAAAAGAGCCAAGAAAACCCCCAAAGTTCCATGGTAGAAGAAATAAGAGAATAAACACGTGTTTTGTGTACTAGAAGGCAGGTACATGGGTGTGCTCTGTGTGCCTCCATTAACACAGTTTGAGAGAAGCCAGTGGATCTGATGACGAGCACATCAGAAAGTAAACCCGGGAGAACAGAGAGGGCAATGGAGCTCTCCGTGCAGGGTTCCAGCACAGCAAATGGTGAGGACGGTAGTGGTCTGAAAAACACAGCCCAATCCAGCCCTCGGGTCCACTTCTGTGCAATCTGGGGCTAAGAAGTCGTTCTGCTTTTGTTTTTCAAAGGTAATAAACAAACAATAACACACGTGACAGAAAGCGTGCATGGCCCACAAAGTCTGAGGTGCTAACCCTCTTTCCAGCAAGTTGGCAGACCCTGATGTTTGGCAGTGAAATGAAACAGTGCAGCTTAGGGAGGAAGCAAGGTAAGTGTGTGTGTGTGTGTGTGTGTGTGTGTGTGTGTGTGTGTGTGTGTGTGTAAGGGAAGAAGAGGGCCAAGTCATCAAAACCAATGGGAAGCATGTATGTAGCTGGCTTTCAGAAGCACTGGGGTTGGGAGTACAGGGCCCAGTGGGACTGTTGCCTTCTCTGCAGAGGATGAACAGGAGGAGAAAGGAGCAAGGCAGGAAGGACACAATCCTGCCGGGGAGTTCAAGCTTCAGAGAGGAGTCTACAAGGAGGAGCCTCAAGAGGCCTGTCCTAACCACACTACGGAAAAAGGGCAAACATCCCCAGCACTCCCACCCCATGGCTTGCTCTGTCTTTACATGTCACCATCAATGCTGTGCCGACCCTCTAGCATGCAGGCTGTAAAAAGGAGGGATAGTTTCTGCCTTACTCTCTGATGTACTCTACACCTCGAAAATTGCAGAAGGCCCTGGGCAGGTGTTCACAGATCCATGGATGTGTGGACAGTGAGCAGGTCAGGCTGGGAAAGCCCCTTCAGGGTCAATGCCAGCTGCCCTGTGGCTGTGGAAGGCTGTGCTGTGCACTGCAGGATGATTGGCATGCTGTTGCCCCACCTGCCAGATTCCTGTAGCACTCCTCTCACTGTTGTGACAAAATCTGTGAATATGGTGCCAAAACACCTGTGGATGAGAACCAGTGGCTAGCCATGTGCCTTGGGGATATGAGGGAATCATTTGTGTATTATCTGACAAATACTGACTGAGTGCAAAGTACAGCTGAAGCATTACAGGAATTTGAATGAGAAATTAAGGTCTTTGACCTCACAAAATTTACAAATTAGTGACAAAAACCTACTAACTGATTAAATAATTACACACTGTGATTCATGTTTAAAGAAAATACACAAGTTGGAGACATCAACACTAACAGGAGAGATCTGTCAGGGGTAGTGGTAGAGAAGGCCTCTTAGAAGACAGTTTAATTAAGGCCTCAGCATGCACAGGCTCTCCTCTGTCCTCCATACACTACAGAGTATACAAGCTGAGGGCTGAAGCTGGAAGGCGGATGTGTGGGATAGGAAGCACCTCAGCTGGGCATGCCCTGCAGCTGGAAAGAGCCTGGAGCCTTCCAGGAAGGCTGGCAAGGCTGGAGCACTGTGGCAGAAGGGGTCTAGGAGCTTGATTTAAGAGGAGAAGGTGAGCCAATAGCAATGCGGTGGACACTCACAGTGGATCTACTCAGGTGATGAAAGCAAACGGCTACTGATAGAAATGGGACTTCATCACCAGGAGGAACGTGACCATAAGTACACGAGGGGCTGAGGGAAGCCCTCCTGAGATACGCTATCAGAAAAAAGCCAAGCCAGAGAGATTTGTTTCTGTCTCCAGGGAGTGTCAAAAGAAGGAGGTTGCCATTAGGAAGAGAACTGGCAAGAAAAGCATGACCCAGTGACAGACACAGGCTGAGGGCTGGAAATAGGCTCACAAGAATGCCACCAAACCAGAGGAGTCAAAGTCACAGACAGAGATGGCCAAACATAGGTCAAAATAACTTAGGAGAGCCTTAAAAATCTTGTTCCTCCCCAGGTTCAGGGGACATGGACACATGTGTTCTCACCTTTGTGCACAGCACTATCCACAGTCAGGCAATGAGTGTCATCCATTAGTAGAAGATGGACAGAGAGACACACAGACTGGAAGAGTCTGCTGCTGACAAGTGGCCACCAGTGACTCAGCACAAACCCACCACGGTGGTTCTGCTTCACTCTGCAGATATTTACACACACACACACACACACACACCCCGCCCCATAACCTGGTTGAAGCGCTGGGAAGTGTCCGTCAACTTGACAGAAGCTGGGGTCATCTGGGAAGAGGGAATGTAACTGAGACAATGCCTCCATTAGACTGTCTGTAGTGGAGGGCATTTTCCTCAGTAATCACTGATGTGGTGTCACCCCTGGCAGGTGGTTCAGGGTTTATACGCAAGAAAGATGAGCAAGCCATGAGAAGCAAGCCAGTAAGCAGTGTTCTTCTACAGCCTGTGTATCAGTTCCTGTCTCCCTCAATCACAGACCTTGAATGGAAGTAGAAAATGAAGTAACCCCTTTCCTTCCCACGGAGCTATTACTGTAATAGACACTCAGCTGTGAGTTAGTAAAAAGTGAGGACGAAAAAGAGCGGAATGTACAACAGAAAGGAACGCAGCCACTCAAGTCTTTAAAGAAGAACCCACTTACCTGTAAGCATTAATATACTCCTTCCTGTGTTCCAGGAGAAAATCTCTCAGCTTCCCAATGTGAGAAATCTACAATGGAAAAGATAGTACGCTTTATATGGACAGGCATACGCTGAGTGGGCCCACTTTCACACACAGTAGAGCATAGCCACGGGGAGACTCTGAACTTCGAATTCCAAAACTTGTTTCTAATTTTGCTGGGAGGGGTGTGTGCTAAAACAAGGTCTAGCTATACAGCTCAGGATGGCCTTGAACTAGTGGTCTTCCTGCCTCCATACTCAGAATACTGGGATGACAGGCATGAGCCACCATAACCAACTCACAACTTTGGTTTTAGGATCTCACAGCCACTACCATGCTAACTCTACCATGCTAACACTACCACGCTAACTCTGCCACCCTAACTCTGCCACGCTAACTCTGCCACGCTAACTCTGCCACGCTAACTCTACCACGCTAACTCTACCACGCTAACTCTCATGGGGGGGGAGGGTCTCTTACAAGCGCCTGCTTCTTCTTCTAACTGTAGTGACCTATGATGT